TGTTTTTCAATGTCAGAAGGTGGACCGTGTGCATCCGGCGACCTGCTGCAACAACTGCCCACACCACCCAGGTTTAGGACTGTTAAGTCTTTAGGCCCTAAATCACATGGTATCGCATTAACAAAAACAACCGAAAATTTCATTTCTAAAAAAAAATCCTCATACTAACTGTTATCAAGATCAAGTTAGCATGCACAATAGGATCCAATTCACGTGATTGAAAGAGGTTGAGCCTCGAAGAGAGATGTTGAGTCTCTGCTGCCAAGGTGGCCAGGGAATAGGAGATCTGAATTAGGGTTTGTGGTTCATATTAGGGCCGGATTAGTCTCGGATCAATGCTAAATAGTAATTAGGTTTATAGAAACATAATCCTGTAGACGTTTAAAACATATTTTCACCGAGGATCAAAAGAAGTGAATGCTTGTTGGCTAAACACTTCGAATGGGCCCAAAGTCAAGCCCACAACAAGCTGTAGCGAAGATCACCTGATGATTGAAGCGCCAAGCAACTCATATGGACCCAACCAGGCCAGACACGAATCGACCCCCGCAACACACCTCACATCAAGCCGAAAGGCGTCATCAGTCGGCCAAGCCTAGAGTCGAATTCTTAGCTAAATTCGAACTCGTAGGCGAACTTCGCCAACTAACGAACTTCACCCACATGGACTAAGTCACTCACATCCGAAGCAACCTTCGCCCACGACCGAAGTGACCTTCGTCCACGTCTTCAGCGAACTTCGCCCAGCTCGCGAAATTCGCCTAAATAGCTGTTTTAGGGCTATTTTCGGGGGATAACCGCTCCCCACTAACTCCTACTTTAATGGTCACTTAATCCATATTTAAGGGGATCATTAACTCTCTCTCTTTAAGCCTATAAAAGGAGAGGAGACCATCCACTTTACAGGGACACACATAGAGATATACACACAGATGCGGACGTAGAGATATATACACACAGAAGCATACATTTGCTATTCTGTTGAGAAGAATTGCTAAGAGAAGACTGAGCTAGCTTCCAAGCAATCCGATCATCATCAACAGCAAAAAGACCCATCGTCTTAGTCGGCGAGTCAACGGAGTAGCTCCACCGACACACGAAAAAGAACCCCAGGAAAAAAAAAATTCCTTTATTTTATTATATTTTCTTTTGTTGTAATATGTGTCAATTACAATCCAAAAGAACCCGAAACAGGATGACGACTCCACTGGGGACTTTATTGTCCTTTGACGAGAAGATTGTGTCACATGCCGACACTAAGGCCCTCAGGTCTTTTGCTGAAATGCTGGTCATTGAATTTGATCAAGCAAAGTTCGAGGAATCAATTTCCAAGAAAAAGTTCTATGCGATGATAACTGTACGTAGTTGTCGTAAAATTCGCCGTAGTGCGAATCTCAGGTCTAAAACAACCCCTGTGTGTGGAAATCCCACCTTCGCTGAAGATAGTTCGGGCTGTGCTAGAAGCCAAATGAACTTCGATCAAGATGTTATCACATCTGATCTTGGGCTTCAGTCTTCAACTCTTTTAGGAGTTCGATTCAAAGTGTCTTCGCGATGCTCGCTATGCTTCTCTGACAGAAGTTATTCCTCATCCAAATTTCCTCAAAGGAATAACATCATCATCCATGATTCCGCTGGACAAACTTCTGGCCAAAGTCGTTGTAAGCGACGTTCGCATTCCAAGGTCAAAACTAGCGAAGTTGGCACCTATGCTTTGAGAGAATTCATAACTCTAAAGAGAGCTCGCCAGTGTCAGCATTGCGCGATTCTCAGAGAAGTGATCTCGGCAGTTCAAAAGAGTTGCCAATGCAAAAAATAGTCTTCAACCGTCTTAGTCATGTTCCAGAGCTTTCAGAAGTTCGGACTAAATGACGACGACGCACTCGAAGGAGCACAATGCAATTGTTCACTATCAACACGGCAAGTGTGACTTCTAGAGACGACGAGGAAGTTTCTCAGGAAATACTACCCATAATATCGGCAAATTCTATCTCTCCATGAAGATTCTTGGTCACATTTAAGTTTCCACCTATGACCAGAAACATTGATCTTCTCGATTCTAAAATCTTCAACGAGTCATCAAGTTAACATCACACCTCTGCTTGACTGCAAAATATCCTTATCGTTGTCATGTTAACATCACACCTCTTAACAGTACCGACTTAATCTCACTGTTATGTTACTATTACACCTCTGAATGGTTTCCCTTTTTTAAAAAAAAACTGACCGGTTAACATTATACCTCTGTCAGACAATTTTGTTGACCGGTTAACATTACACCTCTGTCGACCTATCCTAGTGAATTTGACCGGTTAACATTACACCTCTGTCAAACCCGGTCTCATTAAAAATTGATTAGTTAACATTACACTCCCATCGATTTCCTACCGCTAAGTTAACATTACACTTCCAAATGGTAGTCGTCCTTCGGACTCTCATGAACTAACCGGTTAACATTACACCTTTGTTGTTCACTCCTTTTTGGCACGTTAACATTACATCTCTGTCAAAATTCTTCAGTATTGTCATGTTAACATTACACCTCTGAACAATATTATCTTGCAAGCCTGATATGTTAACATTACACCTCTATCGGCTTGATTCAACTGACCGGTTAACATTACACCTCATCACATTTGACACATTAACATTGCACCTCTGTCAAATATCTCCTCACTGTCATGTTAACATTAAATTTCTGAACAATGTCAACTTAATCAAGCTAATATGTTAATATTACACCTCTACTAGTTTGATCCCAACACCATTACCCTCAGCAAAGATGTTACTATGATATGTTAACATTACAACTCTATCATACACATGTCAAGGGAGATGTAAAGTTTTTTTATTTATTGAAAGAACTACAAAAAGATCGACCCCCCAGCAAAGATGTTACTATGATACGTTAACATTACACCTCTATCATATACACGTCAAGGGAAATGAAAAGTTCTTTTATTCATGGAAAGAACGAGAAAAAGATCGTTACAGGGGAAGGGGATAAAAAGTGTGTATTTGTGCAACACACTCAGCCACTCGTGCATCCCTCACTTCATGAGCACCCTTCTGGGCCTGCTCCCTCAAGACTCTAGGATCGATAGGAATGGCTTGGTATCTAATGACCGAGAGCCGCTCCGTTTAGCTTGGAGCTCTGCGACCTGAGAGTCTCACTTCTTAGTCGACTCGGCTAAATCAAGCTCAAGCTCTTCTTTCTGATGCTGAGCTACCTCCAAACGCACCTGAGCCGCAGCAATTGTCGCCTTAGCTTCATTGATTATCGTATTCTTTTCCTGGATATCAGCCTGAAGCTTTGTCTAGCGGCTATCAGCCGATGCAATGATGTCATTCAAATCACGAACTTTCATATTGATCCGCTCCATTTCTGCACGAGCAAATTCACCAGTCTTACGATGAGCTGCTAGCAAGTGACAGAATTTGACCTCAGCAATGCCATCAAGATCAGCCGTATGAAGCCCATACAACTCTTGGCAATGGAATTCAGCTTTATCGATCGCCGTCTTAAAGGGGTCGGTGCGGACAGAACTGACGACTGAAGTCAAGACACCCACCTTATCACTCAACAACTTGAGAGTACGACCAGATAATGCTCTCTGCGAAGTCAAGGCAGCCATGACACTTTGGTTAAACAACCTCGTCAGACTCTCCGTCAAGATCTTTATCTCCACCTCCACCAAGTCCTTGAGATTAGGGGATTGAGGAACCTCCACGAAACTCAAAGGACCTTCTTTAGTAGAGATCACTATCACATCCGTGATAGTCAGAGATACGGGTGGCATGACTTGTATCCGCTTGTGGCCCGACCTAAGATACGGTGCAAGTGTCACTAAGATATCAGAGACAGTAGACGAAATCGTCGTCCTTACCACCATATTCGTGGTAGTAGGCACGTCCGTGGGTACAACTTCAACACCCGTAGATGAAACCTCCAGCTCAATAAGAATAGCTACAGTCATGCTTGGGCCTTTATCACAGGAAGGTTCAGGGCTTGATGGTCCCTCCCGTTCAACCCCTGTCAGCACGGGAGAAATCGAGAAGTCATCATCATCATCAAAAGCACCGTGAATAATCAGTCTTCGCCGCACTAACAAAGCAGGTGTCAGTACAGGAACCTCAGTCATTTCAACTTCAGGTATTGATGTCAAAATACTGGAAGCACCCTCGAAGGTAGTCGCCGGTTCAAAACGACCACTCAGAGGAAGAGACAGAGTCATCTCTTCGCCCACGTTCCCGAAACCAAATTCATCACCTGAGCTGCCAACATCACCGAAATTGCCTACATCTTCGGACTCTGTTAGGTAAGCATCAGTGTCATCATGCCCATAATCCACTTGTTCCTCTTCGTCATCTAGAGGAATGGGATCCTTACCTGCATAAAAGAAGCGCATCAGCTAAAATTATTTCGAGATGAAAGTCGTGAATATGTGAGTAGAAGTCAACTAAAGAGCCAACCCTAGGTTCTTGCACTGGGACTGCAGGAGGATCCTCCCTAACCTTTGAAGAATCTCTAGGTGTAGATTCAGGCTCAGGAGATGCTGAGCGCTATTTTTTTGAAGAAGGTGGTGGGGGAGGAACATGTAATGACCTCTTTCCTTTCCCCCATCCCCTATCAGGTACGCCTCGATGAATTTTCGGCACAATCGGTCCTGGAACGTTGATGCCAACCTGTCTTGGAGGAGTAGGGTGTTCACCTGGTTCTTCCCGGCCTTCATCTGACACACCCTCCGCCAAAAGCTCTTGAAGTCTGGGAACTCTGCTCTTTGAACCCTTTCGGGATAGTCCCTTATACCGCTAGGTGATCCAATACAAACCAGTCTTGTTTACCTGAAACTCAGGAGGAGGAACAATCACCTTGATATACTACTTGCAAAACCCCAACGTCATGTAATAGTTGGGTATGTGCTGAGGAAGCGAGAACCGAGCCCCCGTAGCTCCCGCAACAAAGTGGTATCAAGCACGAGCTCCGTCGACTAAGCTCCCTGTCCGTAGCAGGTTTGGATTCTCGACATACAGCTGATCATAGCCAAATTGATGAGCGAATTGGCATGGTAGATAGGGTTCGATGTAGCACTCTGTACTGTTCAATCTAGCAATGAGGTGACCTGGTCGGATGTTCCCAACCAGTTGAAACACCCACTAAGCAAGCAAGTGAAGCGATCGCTACTCATACCGTCTTCAAACTCATCCCCGGGGCTAACATATCGTCTGCAAGCAAGTGAAGCGATCGCTACTCATACCGTCTTCAACCAGTTGATACATGCCTATTGAATGAAAATGAGATTATGCATATATATGCATAATAGAGGGAGGGGTTACGTAATGAGATATGAATGGGTTTATGATCCATAAAAATGATAGAATTAATAAGTGTTAAAAATCTACAAAATTAAGAGGTATTTACATGAGTGACATTAATGAAATTACGGGGATTTCAACAAAGATGGTAGAGATAAAAAATTTAGTTGTCAATTACTTATTAATTATATTTTATTAGTAAATAGATTGAAAAAGGAAGAAGAAAGAAAATAAAATAAAAGCTAAAATAAAGCCAAAATAATGTTGCCAAGCAGCAATCTAGGGCCCTTCCTTTAGTATATAGAGATAGATAAAAGAAGCAACTTTCATATCTCTAACTTTTCCTCAACCAAAAATGCCAGCTTATATTTCTCAGCATTGGGCTACTTACATCATTGTTTTTTTTCCTATATATTATATCACCCACATGATCAAATTGGCGTAACATGTTTCTGTTTGGTAAAATAAGAAAGCAATGCCCATCATAGGTGATCCGAACGGTTGGGAGGTTTTAACATGACTCGCACGATTTTAGGCCCAATTCTAGGCTAGATTATCGAAAAAATATTGCCGGTTATGAACTTATTATAGAGTTGGTCTTCAATACTTGCATGCATTATATGCAGGAGTAGCAAAGTTTTAAATGCCTAGGTGCTTTTCAAAACTTCTCCAAAGAATATATATGACCCGAAAATATTTTTTGTTAAATATAGTGTTTTATTTTCTACAAGCTAAACTTTTTCTGAGTTTTACTTTCTTAGGACTCTTCATAGATAGTATAATGTACGTGCATATATACGATATTTTGTCTTCCTCAGTAATGATTAAACGCATACGAAGAGAAATTTTTACCTAGTTTCAAAACCCACCTATGCTCTTAGAAATTTCCAATTTAGTTTAACATTACAAGGTAAACAAGGAATACAAAGGGAGATGTAGTTCATGAGCCTGACTTAAAAAGACTGAATTTTTATGATATTCAATGTTCATAAAGAACCGTATTAACATTGGAATATATACTAAAACAAAACACAAACAATCCCAATTAATTATTGGGCATGCATATGATTAATGACTTTGTACGAAACTGCTCAAACTCATATATTACACAACAGCATGATACAGACTGCAACAACAACTAAGAAAAAGATTGATCACACACCATTTCTAGAGGAGTTACAGGCATTTTTCTGCACACTAAACCCTAATTGAATATCCAGGCCGCTTAGATTCTTCCGTATTGGTGTCAAAGGCAAAGGTTTCCTGATGATATTATTGTTCTTGAAGCTTCCACGATCATAAGTTTCATCGAAAACAACAAACTCGGGCACGTTGCAGCAACGAGAAGAATCATAGAACCACCAAGGAGGAGCAGCGAATTCAGCAGTGGTGCTTCCATGGCTTTTGATGAGAGGTTGAAGATAGCAGCAATTGATGTCATTGGCCTTTCTTGCCTGCACCTCTAATCTTTTCTTCTTCATTCTTTCCTTCTTGTGCGCATTTTGATGGCCTCCAAGGGCCTGAGAGTTTGCAAACTCCTTCAAGCAGAACTGACACCCATACTTCTTCGCTTCGATCTCAACGCCCGCAGAAACCCTGGCTTCTCTGTCTTGTTTTGAATCAAGCTCGCCTGCAGAAACCCTGGCTTCTCCATCTTGTTTCGGATCAACATCCAATTCGAAGCCAAACAAACGAAGAAGTTTCTTCGCTTCTCCTTTACGGGAGCTATTACCTGGCTCTGCTGAAGCTTTCTCCATTTCCTCCGAACTAACAAGAGGGATTTCTGATGTCTTGTGGAGCTTACGGCTCAACTAAAGGGTGCATCTGACCACTATTTATATTGGGTTCAAGTAACCCAATACATTATTCGATAATAACCTTAACAGATACACGTTGCCGAGGAGTCAATTGAAGGGAATGAAAAAGGTCAGATCACACAAGTTATGTCAGTAAAAAAACAAAACGGAAAAAAGCAACTTTGTTTAAAAAATTAACAAGTATATAAAAACAGAAAGCAGAGCAATCGAAGATAACATAATATACAATAGATAACAAGCAGGCATTAGTATTCCACTTGATATATAATACAATTTGCACCGCATAAAGTATAGCATGATAGAAGATTGCTGCAATCTTTGAAGGTCAAAAGGGAGAGATTCGTCCGCTCACTTCCGCAACTATTCAGCTGATTAGCTGCATTTAATTGTTATAATTGCAGCCAACTAATAGAAAGTAGTTTAATTAAGCTATTAAAATAACTGTTGCCTTCGACTTAAAAGCACCGGTCTGAAGTGGTAAGCTCCGAGGTCAGCTACATTCCTCATAGAGGAAGAAAATATCAAGCAAGACGTGTACAAATGAGCACGCACGCACAACTCAAATCTACTCTTCATTCAAAGAATCACTATTCATGCTACAGTAAATGCTATAATAAACATAACTATGTGAACAGTAAATCGATCCCCAGTCCGTCTGCTATAGCAAATTACTGTATGGTGAACAGTAAAACAAATCTCCCACTATATTTTTTGAAGTTACTATTTATACTATAGTATTTTACTATACCATAAACACTAAATCAAATCAAATGTATTAAAACTTAGATCATGCTCTAAGTATAAAGGAGTAGATATGATTTCTAAATCAAATGTATTAAAACTTTTTTTAAGTATAGAGAAGTAGATATAATTTTTAATTTTAAGCATACAATAATTAAATTAAATGTATTAAAAATAGGGAGTCATGCTTTTGCACAGGATGCTTAAAAAAATAGGGAGTCATGCTTTTGCACAGGATGCCCGGCTTGCCCGCTAGTATGTGTTAGTAGAAAAAGAAATCCTATAGCGACTCCTCCGTAAATCATACAGAGAGCTAGGAGGATTTGCCATGTGTCTCCCAGCACAAATCTTAAAACATATGGTTGATGACCATCCAACTTTAAGCTTTTGTAGGGACATTATGGGTCGCCTTCTGGTTTTCCAACTACCGCCTGCTTTTTGAGCTAGGACGGATGTCACGATCTCCCATCTACCTATATGATTTTCTATGGAGGGTCCTCTACAGGATTTATTTTTAGTGTTTGTGCATGCAGATAATCATTTCACACTAGAAAATGTCAGTTTAGAGGCATTATGATTAAATAACAATTGATAATTCAAAAAGTACCGATATTATAAAATTAGCTAATCTTCCAACTTCAAAGGTATACTAGATCCTTCGCTTTTTTACTTCACAGCAAGCAAGAAAAGTCATTCAGTGGCTCTCAAACAGAAAGATTGAGTGCCATGTGAATAAAAGAAAATATAAAACATCTCAGCTTGCTCAAAGTCCCCGGTTTTGTGATTGTTAATTTGGATATACAACCTACACATGAAGCTATATTTTAGTCATTGCCCTAAATAATGCATTTCACACAAAAAGAAGAAAATTCTTGCAGTAATTGTAAAACGTGTTATAGAAAAGGAGATGGTTCTAAAGGATGGAACTTAACTGCGCCACCACAGGACTATCAGCAGTGGGTGATGAGGCAAGGAGATAGATTCATTCTTTTCAAATCAGAGCATATCTTCTTTAAATAGCGAAAAAGCTAAGCTGAAAGATGCGTCAAGTCATCAATCTCTTACCATTTTCCATAAACAAGAAAGTATATATGTAAACGGACAGTGGTCTTGGCATTATTGGAGTCAATTTCAAAAGTTTATCAGTTTATTAGTAGTACCGTTGTCTTATACCAAATCTCCATCCGAAGTTGTGGATTTTCTTTTTCCCCAGAAGGTGGATGACCTCCGAAAAAAGAAGTTCCACAGGCTATCGGCTCCCATCCCAAACTTTCTTGCTTTATCACGTTCTGCTTTCTTGCATAACTCCCACCAAGCCATTTGTCATTTCAGATAACAAGTATGCCCACAAAAGCAGACAAGCCATCATCCTTTCAAGTTGCTACATCTAAAATAAAATGAGGAAACCTGATATGATGAGGTCCCATGTGGTAGGCATCCATGGTGATAAACCTGATATGATGAGGTCCCATGTGGTAGGCATCCATGGTGATCAGTTGATTGATATGATATCAAACACTTGGCATTACATAAGTTTCTATTCACAAGGATTGATTACTGCAAACCATAAAACAGACGTCCAACCAATTCATACCAAATGGATTTTAAAATGTTATAAACAAACACATAATTCCAATTTATACAAAGCATGCCAACACAAAAGGAACAACATGATGCAACTAAGAAGAGAAGCTATAGAGAGCACGCATAAAAACCAACAATGAGAAGATGAAAATTGATAAAGCATATTAAACAGGAGTACATAAGTTATTTGCTGTCAGGTGATACAGTGGTGACATATTCAAGAGGACAAGAAGTTCGAAGACCTCCAGTTTGAATGATACCTCGTTTACTGACACATCTCTCACAGAGCTTCCCATGAGTTACAAGAAGACAATTCAGATCAAATTTCAGTTCATCAGGTATCCTCTTGTTAAGATGAAGATATGCCTTTTCCCTGTCAGCTTTCATGGGAATCCAACCAAGGGCCTTTGCAATCCGAAATACCTATTACGATAGCACATAGCAAGATTCAGTCTGTAATGGCTGTTTCCTACTTGAAGGAGAAAGTAGCACAAGTTTCAGTTTCAAGTGCTACTCACATGAGTGTCAACTGGGAAATCTTCTTTCTGAAGTTGGAACATTAGAACACATGCCACCTGTCATGTTTGTCAACTACCATATGATGTACAGCTATAGGTCATTGATAAATGGACACTGCAAAAACAAATTGACAAGTGGAATATACATACTAGTACTACGTTCACACCAGAAATATGTTAAGAAGTATTCCCTTCCTTTCCAGGGATATCAACGGGGACATGATGAGTTAACATGTGAATTCAGAAGCTAAAATCGAAAATGAATTATACCCAGGAAGCAAGAAAGCAAATGCCTCTTCTTGGTAAGTCACTCAACTCTCACGGAAAATTCTCTTTCGGTTGAGTAAATAACGCAAGATAGGTATAGCCAGCTGTAATTGCTAGTGGGAGTTGAAGGCAGAGGAAAATTAAAAGGAACAAGAACTATGTTGTAATCAAATAGGGCTGATATAAATAATAGCTAAAACCTTCTGTTACATTAAAAAAATTAGGCCGCCCGCGTATTCGTCTTTAGTAGTTAGAACTGAATCCAGTCTCTTCCGGTATACTGTTCTACCATCAAGGTAAAGCCACACCTTCATTACATACCCGTATAACAATGTCCAGGGATATCGTATGAGAATCCATTAACCATATTTTCCAATGGCAGCTGAAGCCTCTCAACTACATGCCAAAACTAACCATATAGGGACCTTCATGTATTGGTTAGATCAGCTGCAATCTTTGAAATTCATAAACCTAATTAGAGCACTAAGTCTATCTTAAATTTTCTAGTATGCTGCCTGACGAAAATATTAAAGGTCATGGTAAGGTTGATACAAGGAGATCCTTAAAGTCTTCAACTTAGCCATCAAAAGAAATGAGAAATCATGTCTCTTTGTCAAGAAAAGGGACAGCAGACGCTAAGAATCACTAGCTTTACGGCTCCTTTCCTCAGACAGTACATTCTATTTAGATTAGAGAAGAAAGAGACTAGACCTA